GGGGGGGGTTGCTGTGGGTATTGTATGGGTATTGTATGGGTCTTGGTTTTTGCTTAGTTATTGTTCTTGTGGTGGTTCTTCATGCTTTCTATGGGGTTTGGAATTTGAGGGTTGGCTTTGTTGGGATGATTGGCATATCTGGGTATTTTTAGCTTGAGTTGGGTGTCCTTTGGGTGTTTTTCTTTTGCATTCGTTTCCTTGTATCTTGTTGTTTTTTTGTTTTAATATAATTTTTTATTTTTCAAAAAAAAAACTCTCACTCCCAACTCCTAGTAAGTGATTCACTGATCCTCAACTTTCATTGTTCAAAGCTTCAGTACTGAAAATAATTCACAACGATCAGTCAAAATCTAAACACTTATGGTTTGTTTTACAAGATTAAAGAGTATAGTAATGTATACCTATTTTTTGTTCTTAGAAGGAGTTAAATATCCTTTCTTGTTTGTTGTGACAAATGTATGCAAATAAGTAATTAATAATCTCATTTTTCAAGCTTATCTTCTGAGTTATTGAAGAAAAATATCTAGTATCACTATTGCATCTCCATCTATAAGAAAATAAGATGCTAATCATTGGAGTACAAGGTGTACATATGTTCCCGAGTCCCCTCCCCCTCCCCTCATCTAGGTCAGGATGTTCGCATAGACTATCTGTATATCACATGCTTCTCCGCTGATGACAAAGTTACCTGCTTTCCCTTCTTATGATTCACAAGTTCCAATATGCTTATGTGTATGACCGAATAACTGTACATTTTTGTTAAGGTGAAATCAGCCATACAACATGCATCAAGGGGTTTGCCAGTCAGTGGAAATGAAGCAATTGCTGTTGCTGGTCTTCTACAGTTTGTTGAGACTTTACAGTTTAATTTGAAATCTGCACTCAAGGAAGACGTGGACTGGTATAATCACTTTATGCCTCTTACGGAAGTGGTAATTGTTTTATAAGTTTTCATCCAAGCACTTACAATATGTAATCGCCTCCCATCTATATAATTTAATGTCTTTCTTTTTCATAACTCTCAGATACTGGAATTGGTCATAAACCGCCAACTGATTAAGTCAATACATCAAGTCATAGATGAAGATGGTTCTATAAAGGATTCTGCGGTTTGTTCTTACTAATGCTGAATTTGTCTTCAGAGCACCTTAGAGATTTGGAAACAATTTTTTTCCTATAACCAATGCTAGTGCAGCTATTTAGTTGTAATAAAAAATTTGTAGAACTGATTTTTTGATATTAAACAGAAGAAAATTTTTAAAAGAAAATAAATAGAACATTAGAGAAAGGGTGATGAGCTGACACCCTAGTACACTATCTAAAAATTAATCATGACAAGTTCTGGTAGATTCAGCACCCAGTCCACTTCATCTTTTGAATGTCAGCACATAATTTATTAATACTTTCTGTATTTATGTATTTGTCCTAAAAAATAGGGCTGCAACTTGGGCGGGCTCAATCCAAGCCCACACTGACCCAGCCTGAAATTTTACACAGGCTGGGCTTGGATTTTCGGTCCTCAGGTTGAGCTCAGGCACAAGTAATGCATAAATGCGTATACATGTGTAATTTTTAGAGTGCTTCATTGACCAACCTAAGCCCAGTGCAGACTTGAGCCCAGCCTGGTTGATTTGCACCCCTACTAAAAAAATCCTTCTGTTCCTCTCCTTCTAAATACCCCAGCATATTGCAAAAGTAATGCAGTTCTAAGGACCTGTTTGGATAGACTTTTATAAAGCAATTTTGTGTTTTCGTAATTTTGAAAGCACAAAAGTACAAAAAGCATGATATAGCATTTGTATTATATTTTTTTGATAAATAAATTCATTTCCATTAAAATAATGATTGGATACAAGAAGATCCCTTTAAAGGCATGAGGTGCTGCCTCTCCTAACAGCAAATACAAGAACTATAACAGAGTTACATGAGTGTTGATGCTAAAACAAGAGTTATAGTTGTGCCCAGAACAATGTTTCCCTATTTACCCCTTGTTTGGCCAAGGCATCTGCAAATGCATTAGCTGATCTCCCAACCCACTGTACTGTTATAGACATATTTCTTGTCAGCCATTTGAATTTCTTTTAACTCATTTTTGTAGCCCCACGTGACGTACTCCGGATTATTCAACCAGTCCACCACTGTCTTAGAATCTCCTTCAATCAGAAGCTGTTCCACGCCCGCTTCTTTTGCAAGAAGTATTCCTTGTATTGCAGCAGACAGTTCTGCCCGGATAGAGTTCCCAACACCTAAGGGGCCAGAGTAGAGTAAAATAACCTTTCCAGCCTCATTCCTCAGTACACCTCCCATCCCAGAGGGACCCAGGTTACCCTGGCTACTCCCATCAAAATTCAGCTTCAAAGAACCAAGAGGAGGGGGGACCCAGCTAGTCAAAACCCTTACCTTGTGGGAGGAGCAGCTTGCTACCAATTTCCAATCCTTCCAACAATCAGTAAAGGATGAAAAACCCCAAAAGCACAAAGTCAGCTTTTTATACTTTGTGCTTTTGGCAAAATAGTGCTTTCGTTTTCGTGTGAACAGGTGATCACGTGTGACCCCCCTTTGATAAAACTCTCGATCCTACCTCCACTCACTGTTGCTACAGGTGGGCCGCCATCGCTGGTCTCAAACCGCAAAACCATCGGAAACCATCACCAGATGTACATGCTTTTGCCAAATAGAAAATTGTACTTCTGTTTTGGAAAGCATACTTTTCAAATTTTTTTACCAAAATGGTTTTCAAAGCAAAAATACCAAAGTGAAAGTATTTTATGTACTTTATACTTTGCTTCCATGGATCTTCAACAGCAAGGTAAATGTCATGCATCTACAACCTGTTGTATTTCCCAGTTTCTTCTCTATGATCTATTATCTCTGTGACTTTGCTTAATAATCCAGTAATAAAACAAGGATAAAAAGGAAGAAAGATTTCTGTTGTGAATAGGAAAAGAAAGAGAGAGACGAGAGGAAGAAGAGAAGAAAGAATGGGTCTTAGGTTAGGAGAACATGAACTGTGTATCGTCATTACTGTTGGCCCTGTTTTATTACTTCATAATAATGAATGTCAAATTACAAATATGCTCTTATTTAGGAGGCACTAAAATAGAAATAAGACAATTACTAAAAAGGTCTAACAAGATTACCCAAATACCCCTATTGGCTAGATTAACACTCCCTCTCAAGCTGGAGCATATATGTCATAGAGCTTCAGCTTGTTACAGATGTAGTCTATTCTAGTGCGACTTAGCCTCTTAGTCATAGTTTTCAAGGCGTCTAGGCGATTCTGGGCAACATAGGGGTGCCTAGTTGCCTAGGCGATAAAAGTTTTATAATATAAAAAACTAACTTTTGGTTAGTTCCCTAGTTTCATATGCCATTCAGCATGTATATTAAATGAAAAAAATAGAAACTCTCTTTATTAAGAACATTAAATTTCCTCTAAAAATGTGGCAAATCATCACATCTAAAAGATAAAAATCTTTTACATATATTAATTTCATTATTTTCAAAAATACTACTACTATAAAAGATATTTAATAGAGTAACTTCATATCAATCAGTAGCTAAAGAAGGTTATTAACTTTATATGATAAATATTCAAGATGGAAAGTAAAGTAGAAAAACAAGGATATAGTTTCCGTTTTATTTAATTAGAGAGAGATAATAAAAAAAGAACCTCTTTATAATTCCATTCTTTCTTTCCTGGATCCCACTAAGGAAGATATCAGAATTTGGAACCCCTTCTCCTTGGGTGCCTTCTTTTGTGCCTCTTTTTTTGAAACCTTAACTCATCCTCCTGCTCCTCTTAGGTGTAAGCCCATTCCTTCTCGGGTTGGTAGTTTTTGCTAGGAAATTTTCTTAGAAAGAATCAACACAAGTGACCTGCTTTAGACCAAACCTTTGCACTGCACTACTAAACTGGCCAAGCCAAGCTCACAGTGATTGTTTCAAGCCATAGATAGGCTTCCTCAATTTACACACTTTTCACATCTCCTCTTGAGCAATATACCCAGGAGGTTGCTCCATGTATACCTCCTCCTGAAGATCACCATGGAGGAAGGCATTCTTGATATCCAATTGAAAAAGAGGCCAATCAAAGTGAGCATCCAAAGAAATAATTACCCTCACAGAACCCATATTAGCAGCTAGAGAGAAAGTCTTAGAGTAGTCAACACCATAAGTTTGTGTACACCTTTGCCACTAGTCTCACTTTGTACCTTTCAATACTACCATCTTGACGGTGTTTAACTGTATACACCCAACTATAACAAACGACTTTTTTCTAGGAAGTAAGGAAGTAAGATCTCAAGTGTAGTTAGATTGGAGAGCATGAAACTTTTCATCCATTGCTTGTTTTCAGTGAGGGGACACAAGGGCTTGTTGGACAGAATGAGGAATAGAAATAGAAGAAAGAAGAGACGAACTTTTGGTGGGTGGGAGACAAGTGAGCAAAGGAAACATAACAAGAAATGAAATGGTTTGTACAAGCACGTTTACCTTTGCTAAGCACTATAGGAAGATCAAGTTCTGACTAAGAGGATTTGTCGATGATGAAAACGAAGGTGGTAGGTCGGATGTTGGAGATGAAGCTGATACTAGTGTGGTGCTGGTGTGGCTTCCAGTCTCATTTGGAATACACTCCATAAGCTCCTAAAGGGTAAGAAGGGGAATGAAGATGCCATTGGTATCAGATGGGAGGGGAACTGAGGGGGAAGGCTCCTGTCTAGAGAAGGAGGGGAGTCTCTCAAAGAAGGTGACATTGGAACAACAAAAAACCTTAGGGAGGATAGAAATCATAGCACTAGTACCCTTTTTGAGTGTGAGAGTAACCAAGAAAAACGCACTAGATGGTGGATGACCCGAGAATCAAGTTTTTCAGTCTCTCAAAGAAGGTGACATTGGGAATAACAAAAACCTTAGGGAGGATAGGATCATAACACTTGTACCCTTTTTGAGTGCGAGAGTAACCAAGAAAAAACACACTAGATGGTGGATGACCTGAGAATCAAGTTTTTCATGGATGGGTCCAAGTTGATGGACACAACAAATAGATCCAAAAACACGAGGGAGAGAAAAAGTGAAAACTCCAGAAAGGGTTATTTGCACTTTTTGGTTGCAAGTGGTCTTTGCCTTTGTAGATTCTACAACCTTTAGATGACCTAAGAGAAGGGGCAAGATCCTGTGGAGATGTGCTAGAGCTGCTTTGGTGTGGACAGCGTGGGAGGAGAGAAATGCTAGAATTTTCAATGATAAGGAGAGGAACGAGGACTCTATTTGGGACTGCATTTTAAGTAGGGCTATCCATTGGGCTATAGCTTGGAGGAATTAGGGAGCTGTAGCAAGAAGCTCAAAAATAAAGGTAAATCTGGCTATAGCTTGGGTACCTCTTTTAGAAGGTTTCATTAAGCTTAACTTTGATGGAAGCAGCTTGGGGAATCCAGGGCCCTCAGGAATTGGGGGTGTTTTAAGAAATGCAGATGGCAGTATAGTTACTTTATTTTCAGGTCCTATTGGTGCTGGGGACTCTATTAAAGCTGAGTTTCAAGCTGTTCTGCAGGGGGCGCAACTTGCTAGAGAGTTGAACATTGATAGACTGCTAATTGAAGGGGGCTCGAAGCTGATAATTGGGTAGCTAAGGAATCTGGATACTGTTGTTTGGGCTATAACCTATGAAAAGATTCAAATGGTTGACTTCCAACATGAAAATATGAATTCTGTAGGAAAGGAGATTGGCTAATGGGATAGATGACTGTTTAGCTAAGCAAGGGGTGCATAGGATCATCTTTTCTGGGCTCATTTGTAATTTGGTGCCTTATGGGAAGCTCATTGTATAAATTATTTCTGCTGAATTATTGATAAAATTTATTTCTACTACTTACCAAAAAAAGACCAGTTGGCTGATTTGTAAAACTAAATCTCTTAGTAGACCTAGGCTTGAGTTCATATCTAGCAAGCTGGGACTATATTAAATATGTTCTCCAGTCTGAGGGGGAATGTTAATGGTGTAGTTGATTGCAGCTAATCTTCTTTTATTCTATTAGTTTTTTATGTCTTTACTTGTTTGCCCTTGTCTCTTAAATTGTTGTAATTTACCCCACTTGAGATTAATATAAATCTCTTCTGGCCGTTTGGGAGACTAACTTTTCTCTCTATTTGGCAGCTAGATTTTTCTTCTCCTAGTCTATGCTGCTCTTTCTCCTCTCTTTTCTGTTCTCTATTATTTACCTCAGCTTTCAAGTTCAATTTGCACAAAACACATATGAACAACATTTATGATAAAAGTATGTAGCTGAACCACTATACCCACTATAAGTAAAAATAAACAAAAAAGACTAACCCTGACACTCAAAAAAAAATCCAAATCAATCTATACTAATTATTCTCTACATATTTCACAAAAAATAAAATCAACTGTTCTTTTTATTTATGGAACTTTTCCTTTGCATTGGAATACCACTGCTTATTGGTATTTGGTGATTAGTTTTTATTAATCTTAGATAAACATGGTAAATAATATTTTGAAAGATTCTTCTCTGCATTGTATGTCTTACTTTATTGATAAGAATTTTGACTTTTATTTCAGAGTTCAAACCTAAAACGTTCCCGTGATCAACTGCGGATGCTTGAGAGGAAGGTAATTAACAGTTTTTTTTTTTCATGAAATTGATTTTACCAAAGAAATGAAGTTGGTCTTAGATCTACTTGTTTGTTTCGGTGTAAGAATTTTGAATAATCATTTTCTCTCCAATAAAAACTAATAGGTATCTTAGTCCATCCCAACCTATCTAATTTACACCCCTGCTTTATTAGGTAGAGTGAAAACGGGTTCTAGAGTTTCAAGAATGAATTGACTAGAGCGAGTAATGAACTAATGATGATTTTTTTTTGGAGAAAATGAATGGATTGAGTAATGATGGGTTTTATTGTTACTTCTTAATTTTAATAATCTAATTTAAAAATAAATAACCACGTGTGATAAATGAGAGAAGGAGATCCATATGAGCACTGAGGTTAGAGGACTCTTGGTCTCCCTCTTTATAGAGTTGAAATCAGCCCCCCACAAGATAATTTCCCACAACGTCCCACAGCACATACCCGCCGTGTATTGGGAACATCTCTCGATGATGCCTCATCATTTTTGATACTATCCTCGGGAGATGTTCCCAATACACGGGCGGGGATGTGCTGTGGGATGTTGTGGGGGGCTGATTTGAACTCCTCTTTATATAGTATAGATTGGGAGATTTATTAATCATAGTATGTAAAGACTCATTTTATGTGAAATTGAGAACTGAGGAGAGTGATGAATATCATCTTTGAGATTTTGGTAAACTCTGGCAAGCTAGTATTTGAATTTCCACAGGTTAATACAAAACCTGCATGAGTTCAATGAGCCTTCATTTGACATATTTATAATATATTCTGCATTATAGTGTAGCATCAGTTATTGGTCTTTTTGCTAGCAAAGATACTTGGTACAACCATCCATCATGATGGCTGCTTTTAGTCTTCAAGATATTATTGCTTATATTACCCCCATATTTAAAAATTCTTACATTACTGAAGACTTGATTTGAAATCCTTTTCCATTCAGTTGCATCAGTTGATGGACAGCTTAATTAGGAATGCAATGAATGATACATATTCTCTGGTAAGTATCATCAATCAGAAATGTACTTCTACTGCTCCATGGGTTGTTGTCCTTTGTTAATCCTTTCTTTTTTTCAGGAAATAAGTAATATTAATGGAAGATTGTGTCTGAAATCTGGAACTGATCAGCTTACAGCCATTAAGGGGCTATTACTCTCCAGGTGTCTTGATTATGTTTCATCAATAATGAACTTCTAACTCAATTAACTGATAATTTTCCACATGAAAGTCTTCAATGAATTAGCTAGAATGCTGCTTTTTTGGTGTATTTTCTACTGTTTTTTGGATAAATTACTTATACCTCCCTTTGGTTTTGGTCAAATACTTTTATTATTCCTCGAGTTTACTAATAGTTTATACTCTCTTTGACCACAAAGCTACAGGGGGTTTTGTTAACAGAAGAGACAGAATCAATATGGGAATAGATATAATTTTAGTTTTTCCTCCAAGATACATATTTTGAGATTGATATAAGTACTTTTGTTTATTTTATATACAATTTTACTATCTAGAATTTTTAGTTTAATTTTCCCTAAACCTGTTTTCAACTTTTCATTCCCACCTTAACATTATGGAAAAAAGTTATCCCTTTAAGAAATTAAACAAGGTTAATTTTTGATGTCACATGAGAACTTCCAGTCACTAAAACTGATAGCTTAGTGTAGGGGTGGAATAAGAAACCCAACCCAAACTACAGGGGATGAGTAAGTTAATAGGTAAACCTGAGGGCAGGTCTTAGTATTTGATTGAAACCTGAGGGGCAGTAGAAGTAATTTACCTTATTTTTTCCCCACAGAAATCTTGTTAGATAACTGTTAGATATTTGATCAGACCTGATTTCCTTCCTAAAATAAAGGGAAAATAAGAGAAAGAAGAAGGAGAAGAAGAGAAGAGAAAGAGAGGAGAAGATGAAGAGATGGTTTGGCTGGTCTCCAAAGAGAGAAAATCAGTCTCCCCAGCCAACCAGAACAGTATATATAGATTTCTAATTAAAGTACAATGACCTTTGTGCCCCTCTTTAAGTATGGGACACTCTATTCAATCTCAAACATAATAAACAAACAACCTAGAATAAAATACTCTGAGATGACTCAAATACCCCTGGACTGTTGACTCTAACAGTAGCTTTTTCCAAATAATTTGGATTTTCTTCTTTTTTTTTTGATAAATGAATGGTAATTTTATTAATGAGAGAATAAAATGTACATTCACCCTAAAAGGGGGCACGAGATGTTACCTACCCGTAGAGATGAGAACATAACCACTGTTTTAATAGAATACAGTTATAAGGTTGCCCAAAACAATTCAACCCTTGAAACCTCTTATTTAGCCACTGAATCAGCCATATAGGATTTTCCAATTTGCCAACCCATTAAAATCTGACTGACATATTCCTTGTAAGCCAATTAACTTTCTTGAGAAGATCCCTGCAGTCCCAAAAAACTGTTTATGGATCTGACAACCAACACACACTAGCACCTTAGAATCTTCCTCAAATATCAAAATTTCACTCCATGTTGGTTTTCAACCTGTGTTCCCTGTACCGTAACTAGTATCTCAACCCTTGTAGAATCACCACTCCCATTGGTCCTGAAAATAAGGGTAGAATGTTGCTGTCCTTATCTTTCAAAATCCCTCCTATACCCGAAGGTCCTGGGTTATCTTGACTGCCCCCATCAAAGTTCAGCTTTACCACACCCTTCGAAGGGGGTATCCATTCTACTTGTAGTCTATTCTTTTTGGAGGCTGTGGAGGCCACCTCTGCCCAACTCTTCCGAAAATCATCAAAGGAATAATTCATAAAAATGTTGGAAATTTTCAGCCAAAGAGTTGTCCTTGTTGGTATGCACACCTTTACTTTGGCGAGGCTTCTTTCCTTTTCTTGGATTATTTTGGCATTCCTCTCCTCCCAAATAGTCCACAACATAGCTGCTTTGATAAACTTCTACATTAGTTTCCCCATCTTTGTTAGCCACTCAAAAGTGGATGGATCAAAAAACAGATTTACTTCAAAGGGCAAGTTCCATCCGCACCAAACAACATAAAAACCCCATTCCAAATATTCGCAACAAAGGAACAAGTAACAACAAGTGGTGATAGCCCTCAATTTGCACTTTACAAAATACACTAGTTTGGGGGCAAACGAAAATAAGGTTTCTTCTTTTACAGGTTATCCATAGTATTGATCTTACCATAATAGGCTTCCCAGTAGAAAACAACTATTTTAATGGGGATGGCCCTTGACCAGATTTCTTTACAGGGAACACCCAAGAGGAAGGAGTATAATAGAGTGACTTTGAAGAAAGAGACACAAGTGAAGGAGCCGCTTAAAGTCAAAGTCCAAATTCTTCTATCAGGTTTAGGGGGGTCTAAACAGAGTCCAGAAGAAGAAGCACAAAGAAATGCATCATCCTCTAAACCTCTGTGAAACCCAAAGTTCCAATTTAAAGTCAATGGGGGAACCCAGGGGAAAGGGACCTTAAAATCAAGCTTCTTGTTAGAATGGGAGATAGAATAGAGAGAGGGGAAACAGTCTTTTAGAGGTTGAGTACTCACACAAACATCTTCCCAAAAAAAGAACAGAATTACCAGAGAAGATATCATACAATACAAACATAAGGAATTTAGGGAGGGTGCCAACAATTGCCTTCCAAGGTGTTGTGAGCAAAGCCCATCGAGACACCCAAGCATCCCAACCACTCTCAGAGCAGTCATTTAATTAGGATTTTCTTCTTTTATTTCTTTTATGTCATTATCTTTGATTTTGAACAATATGACTGTCAGGATGTATTATGAAACTCTATTAAGTGCCATGGTTTAAAATGCTGGCATCCCCAAGAGTTTCGCCAAATCAACTTTAGTAGATGAATTTGGGAGACACTTGAAACTCTATTGAACTCCGCCTTGAACCCAACTATTTGGGTTTGGCTACACAAATCCTACTGCCATTATACTCTATGAAGAGCCATGTTTTTCTGTCAAAATGTTAGTTCTTAGATCATTCATTTGATCCATGTTGTAGAAAATAGTTGGTTATATTTGTTTTTTCCATGCTCATATAATGGGGGTTATTAGCCGACCCCATATAGTTGGTTATTAACCTATTAGAATTGGCTACACATCGAATTTTTCTTTTCTTCCCAATACTATCTTTGACACTCTAATTCCTCCTTGAGTTCAGCCCTCAGAAAGGGAGGAATCCGAAAATTAATCTTTGGAGAGATTTTCACATTCCCAATGTTACTAAAACATTTTAGAGAAGGAAGAAACCAATGGTTTTACCTAGATTTAGAAGCTAACAGCAGATTCTAAATTTATAGTTTCTAATTTTTGTGTTTCCAAAGCTGCTGTTGACAGTTTTTTTTTTTTCTTCTAAGGGGTGTCTTTTTTTGAGAAGATCTTCAATTAGTAGTTTACTATTTTATTTGAGAAACTTTTAGCTTATGCCAACTATTGTTTTGCAGTGCTTCTATTTTGAGTTTGTAGTCAGTCTCAATGTCTTTATAGGTGTTTGAGGCATACACCTGGAGGTGCACTTAAACACCCCAAGGCATGCACCTCTGGTATGCCTCATACATGTTGAAAGAAAGAAATAAAGAAAAAGAAAAAGAAAAGAAAAGAAGAGAACTCTTCTTCCTCTCCCTCCTCCTTTTCCTTTCTTCTCTTGAGGAGGCTTACACCTTGCACTTAGGAGGCTTATGTCTCTTGCATCTGAATCATGCCTCATGCCTCTTGGTGGTTGAATGCCTTGTGTCATGCCTACATGTTTAAAAATTTTGTTTTAAGCATCTAGAATATTCTACATGCCTCAATTTTTTTTGTCAATCCCCTTGCCCACTTGTTTTAATTTTACTCTTTTACCATTCAGTGAAGCTTGTTCATCAACTTCCTCCTAATCTTTAGCTTTTCCTTTCTGTTTGCAACCTCCTTTGCATGTTCTCTCTCTCCTCTTCTTCCAGCTGTTTCAACCATATCTCCAGTCCATTTTCACCAACACTGTACAGAAGGTCCATTCTTCCCTTTGTATTAGAGCCCTCAGATGATGCAACTCAATTTTTGTTGGGATGCTGTTCGTATCATTCACCTTCACCAGGATCTGCACCATGTCTATCATATCCCATTTTCTATTCTTATCAAAATATTTCAGGAATATTGTCCACATGTTTCTGGCTGCTCTAAAGGTTTGTCAACACCATGCATAAAAGGGGATCCTTGCAACACAAATCCAAACAGCTTTTTTCCCTGAAATTAATTAACAGCTCCCTGCTGTAGAACCATCTACCTAGTCTAAAAAGCAAGGGCAACCCAGTGCATGAGGCTCTTGCCAATGCGGGGTCTGGGGAGTGACATATGTACACATCCTTACCCCTTGCATATAGAGAGGTTGCTTCCGAGATTTGATCTCTGGTCATCCAGGTCCCAATGGAGCAACCCAACCATTGTGCCAAGGCCCATCCTCAAACCATCTACCTAGTCTAACCGCCATAATTCATTTTTTGTTCATTCTCATGGTCTTAAGACCTAGTCCACGTATTCTATATTATAAATCATGAATAAGAACACCACCCTGTTCAACTTCTGAACTCCCAACACCCTCTCCCGTTTTCTTCTATTCCCTGTTCTCTAGCATCTCTGTCTCTCAGTTGGCCTTTACAACTCTTCCAACCATGCAAGCTTTTAGTAATCCAACTACACAAGCTTTCAATAACCTCAAATCTTTCGAGCAGTTTACCAACTGAACTCATACTTGTGCGGGTGAAAACAAATCCATTATGGAAGCTCACCATACAACAGCCATTATACAAAAAGCTGACTAAAAATCTCTACTGCCTCTACTACCTTTAAGTCTTCCTTTGCATCCTGCATCTATTAGTTGACATCTGATGTGCAAGATGGACTCCCTTTACTGTTTATTTCCATCAGATCAAAGTCTTTGATTATCTAAATTGAATCCAGATTCCAGAATTGGTAACTTCAAGATAAGGAAAATTTCAGACCTGTTTTATGCATGTGAATGCAACTCAATAATGGTGGAAGGATTCGGTCCTTTCTCAATTTATTTGATTAGAATTTCTTCATATGGCAACCATTCAACTATTGATCATTGTATTACTGATACATAGTATTTCTATCTAGTGGTTCAGGTGTGGGAAATTTAATAGAGCCACTTGCTGCCGTTCCTTTAAATGATGAGTTGCAAGAAGCAAGGGCATTGGTAATGAAAGCTGAAGAGGATGTGCTTTCTGCGTTAACAGAGAAGGTTTTGTGGGCTCTATTCAGTTTAAAGTTTTCTTTGTTCTAGTCTCTCATTTGTTTGGTCATTTAATTTGTTTTTTTTTTCACAGATCAGAGCAGACCTTGATGACATTCATAATACATTGAATGGTATAGTTAAATTGGATGTGGTAAGTATCTTATAGTAAACTTGTCATTGTAGGTGGTTTCATGGATTTTGTGTTTTTTCAAATAATTTGCATTTGATCTTTTATAATGCTTGTAGATAAGTTTTCTGATAGATAACAGAAAGCAGCTTTTTATTAAACGAATAATGCTATTATAGATAGAAACAAAAGTGGTTAACCTCGTCTAATCACCAAGAGCATTACAATTGCAATTCCATTTGTGACCAGACCTAATCAGTTCTTAATTAATGTGAAAAATAAGAAGAAACAGTTATCCCCCTCCTCTTCCACTTCTGGGTTTGGGTGGAATTTGTGCTTGATAAGGGCTGTGAGAGACTCAAACCTTGACAGCATCTCGAGTCTTCTTCAACTTCTTGACATTATTTTCTTAGACCCTGCTAAGGTGGACTCTAGAATTCGGACTCCTACCCCCACTGGTTCTTTCTCCTGTGCCTCTTTCTTCAAAGTTTTAAGCTAGTCCTCCATTCCTGTAGCCTTCCTTTTTCCTGTTCATGGTTTTTGCTGGGAAGCCTTTCTGGAAAGATTCAACACTAGTGATCTGCTCCAAGAAGAGACCCAATACTTGTTTGTCCCCTCACTGGTGTGTTCTTTGTAAAGCTGATGGGGAGACGGGTTTTCACCTACTGGTGTCTTGCCAATATGCAAAGTCTATTTGGGAGTGGGCTCTTTCCCTATTTGGGTGTAGTTGGAACCCTCCATCAAACTTGCAAGATCTGTTTTCTCCTTCTTTTCTCAGGTGGCACATGAAAAGGGGCAGGATTATGTGGAGAGGACTGAGGGCTGCGGTTTGCTGGTCCTTATGGGAAGAAAGAAAAGCTAGGATTTTCTCGGAAGTAGAGAAAGTACTGATGAATTGAGGGCTTTGATCCTTATAAGGGTGATAAAGTGGATGAAATCACTAGAGCTATTCACAGATTATACAGTGGATGACATGTTGAGGAATTGGGGTGTGATTGCTAGCAGTACCCGGACCAAAACAGTGATGAATGTGTCTTGGACTCCCCCCTGCGGGTTTCATAAAATTAAACTTTGATGGGAGCTGCAGAGGGAATCCTAGATAATCAGGGGTTGGGGGGTGTTTTCAAGGATGAGAATGGGGTTGCTTCTGCCATGTTCTCAGGCCCAATTGGAGTGGGTGACTCTCTCCGAGCCGAGATCCATGCGGTTATGGAAGGAATCCAGAAAGCCAGGGAGATGAATATCAGAAAACTTGTAATTGAAGGGGACTCAGAGGTGGTGGTTGGATGGCTAAATAAAGACTACAGTGGCTTATGGAATTACAGCAATATGAGGAGGAAATTAGATGGCTGGCTCAAGAAATGGAGGTTAAAATCAGTTGGGTAAAAAGATCAGCTATTTCTTTTGCTGATGGGTTAGCTAAACAAGGGGTGGAGAGGGAGTCAATGTTCTGGGCACAGTTGTAATTATTTTTTCTATTTCTCCTTCTCTTTCTCTTTTTCTTTTTCCTTCTTTTGGGGCTCAAGTTATAGATGGAAGATAAGAAAGTTTGTCTTCCTCTTTGTAATTATCATTGAAAGTTTTAATGAAATTAATGAAGTGTGTTATTGATCAAAAAAAAAAAAAACAGAAGAAACAGTTCTAGAATAGAAGAGGAAAAGGAAAGAGAATGGAAGAGATGGTTCACCAGGAGTTCACAATAAAGATTCGATAAGGAAGGAAGGGTACAGTCTTACTAGTGGGCAATGCAGCTTTCTGGTTTCAAAGTTTCCTTGATGGAGCGGTGTATGTAAGCTGGCACGGTGTATGGAAAGGCACTTTTAGCTACTTGAGGAAGGAATATGTAGCAGAAAAGAAAAGAAATTCTAAAGGCTAGTTTTTGACACTGGAGAAAAAGCTTGAAAGCGAGAAGAAACAATTGATTGTCATACCAGAAGGGAGAAAGCTGGAAGGATGGATTAAGGTAGAAAATGAGATACATTAAAGAGTTGCTAGCAGATGGGCTAGAATTGAGAAGAAGCAAATAGAGAAAGAACCTGTGGAAGTTGGAGGGTTGGGAAAGAAAGAGGAAATGAAGGAATGAAGGAAGAGATTGGAATAACTGGGCACCGAAGAAGTAAATGAAATCCAAGAATCGGTGGCGTGGCTCTTTCTGCATGGGAACCAAAGCTTTTACTTAATGGGGATAGAGGAGATTGGGAGCACAGATTAGTCTTGTCTGCGAAGAACGTGGTGAAGGATTGGAAGGAGATTTTAGAGGAAGTGATGAAGAAGTTAGGGAGCAAGCAAACAGCTATGTTAATACCTTTAGATGAGAAGGAGGCAGTGTTGGATGTGGGGAGGGAAGTGATTGATTTTATTACTGTAGAGACACTGGAAGGAACTATAATGGTTGGAAATTGGTGCCCCTCTTGTAACTCGGTGACAACTAGCGATGGAAATTTCTGGCCAAAGCTCCCAGGTTTACTGTTTAATTTGTATAAGAAGCTTCTCCTTGAGAAGATAGCTGTGGCCATGGGTGGAGTCCTCATCTCCTTCAAGACCTTAGGTCTGAGAACAGTTACTATGAGGATTATGGGTGTCAAGCCTGAAGATACTCCAAGATCGATTAACTTGTTCACTGAGGGGTTCTAGACCAAGGTCTGGGTTCCCTTAAAAGTGGAAGCATTGCTCTGGTGTGGGAGATGAAAGCTCGACAGTGATGATGACGTGGCTGGCTGGGTGACACTTGGAGGAGAAAGAGAAGAGAGGAACATATACATCAGCAACATGTGGAGGAAGCAATGGTAAAAGACATGAAAAAGTCAAAGATACTTGAAGGGTTGCCTTGACTTCTAGAGAAGGAATTAACTTCAAATGGTGGTGTCGAGAAGGCGGGAGCCTTCTCTTATGGGGAAGTTGTAAAATGGGGAGCTGTATCAGATGGAGGGTGGGGTCCGTAGGGTACAAAGAAAAAAAAAGTTCTGTAAATTTAAGTGAGTCGATGGGGTGAACTGGGTGTAATTTAGAAAGACCGGCTCAAGGGGTTGGGAACTGTGGGGTGACACGGAGTTAGAAACATAAAATCTAGAAAGTCTCTTCAACATCCACCTAGATTTTCAAGACCATCTGATTAGTCAGTCGGTTGAACAAAATGTCTAGACGAGTAAGGGTGACACACTGTGCTCTAGAAAGGGGGAACCAAACTAGAGCCAGGAGCAGACACAGGGGGTTAGTTTGGTTATGGAGGAACTAGGCGGAAGAAGAACACTACTCCAAGGAAGGTTAAGGCATCAGCTTTGGGTCAATTCTAGTCCATTGCACCGGAAAGTGATCAGTTAAAAAAATACACCAAGCAGGGGGATAGGGTTGCCGTTACTGGTTGCCCTTCAAGTCAAGTTCCTGCTAACATTCTAGTCCTTCCACAATTTTGTTTTAGTTCCAAAAGCTACACTGTAGCTAATATGGCTAAAACAATGGATATATAGAAGCAATAGCTTTCCAAGGGGATGTGAGAGAACCTCTTAAGCTAAGACCTATGTTCCATCCATTAGGCTATTCATGATTGCTCTTAATGACCTCGTGCCACAATTTATCCAAATCAATGCAAAATCGCCACAACCATTTTCCTAAGAAGGATGTATTTCTTAATGATACTTTACATAGCCCCAAATCTCCAGCCTCTTTGTCCATACAAACTGTTCTCTAGTTGATTAAGTGATCCTTCTTCAAGTCCCTTGGCCCCCATTAGAAATCCTGCATAATCTCCTATTAGCCACTTACACAAGGATTTTGAAAACTAAAAGATAGTAGATAGGGAGGTTACTAAATGTGGATTTAATTAAAGTTATTCAAACCCCAAGTGAGATATAGTTCTTTTTTCAAGTTGCAAGCTTCTTGGGAAATCAATCTAAAAACTGGGTTCCAAAAACTGGAGGACCTTGGGTTCCCCTCTAGAGGTAATCCTAGATATCTTATTGGCCACTGCTCTAGTGAACAACCCAAAATCTCTGCATCTCTCCTTGCTACACTTCTTCAATGTTTGCCCCACTAAGCAACTTTTCTCCAAATTCACCTTTAAATTTGAAATCTTCTTAAAGCATTTCACCAACTGCTGAAGGTTTCTCACACTACCTTCCCCCTTATCTATGCCGAAGATTTTCATATCATCAACAAATAGTAGGTGAGATACAACTTGATCCCTACCTATCTTCCAATCCTCCACTAAACCTAACCTATCCGCCCTCGAAATTAAACCTACTAAGCTCTCTCTTAGCTAGGAAAAAATCCATTTGCTTTCACGTCACCATAATGGAAAAATCCTTTGCTTTCTCTTAGCTAAGCTCTCTCTTAGCTAGGAAAAAATCCTTTGCTTTCACGTCACCATAATGGAAAAATGACATGAATGTAGGCATCCTTGAATCCATTTCATCTATTTTTCAACAAAACCAATTTGGAGAGCACCTCATCCAAAAAAAAGAAAAAAACGATCAACTTAGTTGCAGGCTTTTTTTTCCAAATAAAGTTTGCATACCCAACTCTTCTTTCCCAGTTTTCTTATTTCCTCGACACTTCCATTAGCAATCAAGGTTTAATCTATAATTTACCTCTTATTAATAATTTCTCCTTGATTTTGTGAAATGATCAAGGGGAAGACTTCCTTTCAACCTCAAAATTAAGATCTTTGCTATTATTCTGTATAGACTTCCTAATAGACTCATTGGCTGAAAATCTTTGGGGAAAGATGCTTCTAGGGATTCAGCAATAAGGGTCACAAAGGTGGAATTGGCTCTTATTGTGAATGGTCCTTCTCTCATGAAATTCTTGGGATACTTTCATTAAATCCTCTTTAATAACCTCCCAACATTTCTAGAAAAAATCCTTGTAAATTCATCTGTCTCCAGTGCCAAAGGTTCAAAATATCGACATGATACACCCGGTAAGTCTCCTCTCTTCTCTTTGTATAATTTATGTTCTGGTAGAGATGATGTTCTTCTTCTAGTGTTTCTAGTAAGGGAGTTGTCTTTCCATCTATTGGTCTTTAC